TATGTAAAAATTAAAAAGAATTATTGTTATAGAATAAAGCTGAAATTTACTGGATTTCATTAACCAATATCACCATAAAAAAATAATTAATTAAAAATTAAAAAAAAGAGTTCAGGTCAAAAAAGTTGAAATGTTAGAAATCTCACTGACCAGAGTATTTTCACTTGTGTAGAGGAATCAAAACTTTTTTATATTTGAAGGAATAGATTTCATAAAATTGACAGAAAATGCGAAACTTCTGCACAATTAGGAGAAATGACAGGAGAATGCCCTGAGGTTCTTTTTGCAGCATGCTATACCGAAAATAAATAAGTAAAATGGTGAAAACTTTTAAATAGGGCAATAGGAAAATTAACATGATAAAACACTGTATAGACACCAAAATGATAATTTAGAGACTGCAAAACCATGACCCAAGGTGTATATGGAAAAAAGATCTGAATATAAATATACGACTTTATTCTATTAAGTAGACTATTTTACTAAAATATTTTATAAAGTAGAACAAAGATACAAAAGGAATATGTAAGATATATGATTTGTTCCCATAATCAGGCTGAAGGATTGGGGGTAAATTCTTCTTTTATATTATAGTTAAAAACAAGTGTCATGTTATCTGTAATTTGTTCCAATATTTAGAAGTTCTGAACTCTGGAACTTTGGTAAAATGTCATTATTGTGAATAATCCATTCATTTGTACAATTGTATTCGTTTGTACATCTTGATGTTCTTTGTAGAATTACCCATAGAAAAGCAGTATTAATCTTCTATTATGTGTACTAATTATCTAATTAGATCCTGTTATATTATCCTCAGATTAATCGACATACTTCAAAAAACTATGATTCCATAAATGGCTCAAAAGTGCCAAACTTTTATGATTTTCTGGAAAAACTATTTGGGCACTTTAATTTCTTCTAAAACGGTGAAATAGAGACTGACGATACTTACGTGAACAATAGGATAAATCTTTTTGCATGGACCACACCATTTGGCTGAGAATTCAACCACCACAAGTTTGCATTCGGCAGCTTTCAAAAATTTTTTTAATTCATCCTGAGACAAGAACATAAATGAGGAAATGTACATAATCACTGAATCTCATAAAGTATTGCAAAGTATAAAATGACAGATTACTTCTTACTGTTCTCCAAAAAAACCTTAACCAGGTGCCCCCTCACTGTTCTCCAGGTGACTCAGTCTTTCCTAAATGTCCTTAAGGTCACACATATTTGTCTTCTTACGTATACATAAGTGACAATAAATCCACGCACACAAAATTAGGAGTCTATTTACCAAATGGTGGTTGGTAATTATATCTGGGAGAAACTGAGATTGGCCAGTGAGAGATGAGGGGTGGAGGGTGAGGGTGACTGGTTGCTTATCTATATTTGATTTTTTTGAAACAAGAACCTAAACTTGCATTAATAGTGAAATTTAAAAGGAGAAGAACTAATCTAACACCTTGAATCACTTCTTGTTTTTTTGTTTGTTTGTTTGTTTCGTTTTTACGGAGTGATCATTATTAAAGCTATCATCAAAACCACACATTTAAGGATGGACATGTTTGCTGTTGAATGTCAGCTGAGTTTTCCATTAACTGTCCATATCATCTAAGTAAAGTGTGTTTTTTAGATCACTGTATCTATATTTGCTTGGTTAATGAACAGTGACTGTCTTACACAAGTTATTTCATGCATGGCTTACCTCCTCAAAAAGCTCATACAGAACCCAATCCTGATTCACTCCTGTACCTCCGTGGTCCATAACAGGCACAGGATATGTGCTCATGGAGTATTTAGTTGGTGAACGAATGAATGATTTGCCGACATAAAGTGTTTACTTTATGTCGGCAAATCATTTACAGATTTACTTTTCCTTTTCTGACTGGAATTGTGACAACAATAGCCAGCTTACTCTGTGCACCTGGTATTCGCTCCCTTAATCTTTACAGCCACTCCATGGAGTGGGTATGATTCATATTATCTCCATTTTACAGATGAGAAATGAAATTTATTGACTTTCTCTGGGGCAACCAGCTAGTAAGTAGTATAGCTGAGATTGCTAGCCTAGGCAGCCTGACTCCTTAACCACTATACAAAGCCACCTCCTAAGTTCTTCACAGTAATAGGGCTCACTCTCCCTCTCACTGGCCCTAACTAAATCTTGTAAACTTCCCTGGGCCAATCAGTAAGATGGGGGATGGGATCACCAATTGGTTTAAGTCTAGCAAGACCTACCACTGGAATTAGGGAAGTGGTTAATTCCATATGGAATTTATATGAATGGCATACTCTGAATGGCTCTGTAATAGGGGAGTCTTGACAATTACATTGCCATCTGGTTTAGTTTCAAGCAGGTGAAACTGATGGCTCAAAGGAGATATACTCTCTTGCTTTACCAATATTCCTTTAAGACAAGGGGTAATTAACTTGTCAGGGAGCCATGCCAAGCCTCCATTTAACACTTGCTTCTGAAATTATAAGGTAGATGCCATCCTCACACGCCTCCTACACCCTCCATGTCTCAGTAATTGTTAGGGTGTAAGTTGGTCTAGTTAGACTAATGAATTTGACTCGGCTAAGTTCTCTGAAGGGAATATCTCCCATAGTATATGCATTGATTCAATATGTAGCTATCGAGGCCTGCTCTATGCCAGGTACTGGACATCCTGCTAGGACACAACTGTGGACAAAAAAAAAAAAAAAGGATGAAACATTTCCTGCCTTCATAGAGCTTACATGTTAAAGGGGGAACTGATGGCAAGGTCAATGGTAAGATCAGTAAGTAAAATATGTAGTGTGTTAGTAATCACTGCTAATAAAGAAACAAGGAGAAAAATCCAGTAGGAGGAAAGGAGGGGAGTTGGATTACAATTGTAGTCTGGACGGCCAAGGGCCACCTCAATGAGATGGGGACCTTTGAATAAAGACATGAAGGAGACAACAGGCCCTCATGAGAGGCCTCTAAGGTGGAGATGCAGAGGGCTTCTCAGGGATGGGCGAGATTCCCAGAAAATTAAAAAAGAAGCACCAAAAGCATTAGCGAATGTACGCTGTTTTAAAACATTTACTCATATCAAAGATACATGGCAATGCTTTCTTTCCATCCAGTCAGCCTCATTTTTGTGACCTTATGTACAGCTGCACTTGGGGAAGATGTCAAAAGTCTGAATCTGAAGGAGCTGATAGCCCAGGCCCTATGCCCTCCCACCTTCTCTGCAGCTCCTGGCCTTCCTGTAACGAGGCCTGGCACCAGAATGTCTGGATTCTAATGCTCACTCCTCCCCTGAATGATGTGGGACCTTAAGCTCTCTTTTAGGGGAAGTTTCCTTTTTAATAAACAAATAATTATCCCTGGCCTACATCTGTATTCGGATTTGTTGTGGCAGTAACGTGGACAATATGGATAGAAAGTGGCTTTATAAAATACTGCCTAAAGAATTGTTACCACTGACCATCATTTTTCCTATCCCATTCCATGGTTTGTCTGGGGTATCCGTTCTCTTTTCCAGAATAAGAGAAATATGTGGGATCAGGTCAGAATGGGATATGCTAGGAGCTGGGCTGGATCCAGCTAGAGTCAGAGCATGAAATGAGAATCAGGAAGGAATAAAAACCTTTTTTGATCAATTTGTCCCTTGGCTACTCTCTAGAGAGTGCCAACCCTCAAGAAACGGTATCAAGAGCAAGAATTTTTAAAATCTCCCCTTTGCTACAAAGCAACAGAGGAGTGCTAGATAGAGGAAATAATTCTTAAAATCTGTTCTTAAAATGGTCTCTTTTGAAATGTTCAGTGAAGCCAAATAAATACTTGCCATGTCTTTAATAATCTGCACCATGATTTACACCTGGGAATTGCTGATGACACTCTCCTATTGGCTCAGGTGGCTTGCTGTAGCTGTCTTCTATTAATTATAGGATCCTGGCTGGAATAGAAGGGTAACTTCTCTATGACATCATTCAACGTGACATCTTAGAACCTAGAACTCTGGCAGACTTGGAGCTAACTCCACTTTTATGCCAAGACTAGTTAGTCAACATATGATCAGCCAAGAATCAGCTGACGGCAGAATCAATAATGTGTCTACTTTTGATCTACTATCACCTATTTCCATATACTCCCTTCAACCCCAACCACTAACTAAAAAATAAGCAAGGTAATGTTAAATTGATAAAAGTTATTTTCGGTTAGGATTTTAAAGGGATTATTTTGCAGTTGAGGAAAACACTAAGGCCTTACTCCTATAATAAGTTTCCCCAAAATTTGGTTTTATGAGTCACAGATTCCTTAAACTTTGTTTATTTGCTCTAATTTTTTTAAGAGGTAAACAAACTTCGCCTTTATGCATTAGATCAGAGGTTGGCAAATTTTTCCTGTGAAGGACCCAATAATATTTTAGGCTTTTCAGACCGTGTGCAATCTTTACTGTGTATCTTTTGCTTTTACGATTTTTAAAAAAGCATTCTTAGCTTACAAAAACAACAGCAGTGTGCTGAACCCTGCACATGATGGTTTGTCATTTTTCAGAATTTAATGTCAGAAAAAACTCCAAACATGGCTATGGCCAATGTTCCTAAGAATCTTCTTCAGAACAATAACAACAACAATGATGATGAGAGAAATAGTAGAATCCTTTAGTAAAACAAAAAGAGCAAAATCCTTCTTTCTGGTTTTTCCATAAATCCAGTCAGTCCTCCCAGGATAAGATCCCTGCCTTTTCTTTTTGTATGTACCTGATAAAGTGTGAAATATGACTATTTCTTGTATAGCCATAGACCGGGTTGGGTTTAGCCTCCCTGCATTTCCTCTACTTCCTACCAAAAATATACTGATTTTTCCACGGGAAAATTTATCTCCCTCTATTTTATAGCAGCTATGGAGTTTGTACAAGAGGATTAAGATAACTCTAAGTCTAAAGTTAGACCCTGATTACCTTAATCCAACCAGCAATCCCATCTTTAAGCAAAGGGTTAATGAAGAGAGAGAGCACGAAAGCCGAAAAAAGCAATTTATAGCACTTATGACAGAGTTACTAAAATTTTCTCTTTCCCCATCTGGATACAAAGAAGATGCTGGCTGGCAGCTATTATAAAACACACAAGAACCTATCAAAATACTAATGGCATTTTTCAGAGAGCTAGAACAAATAATCCTAAAATTTATATGGAGCCATAAGAAACCCCAAATAGCCATAGCAATCTTGAGAAAGAAGAACAAAGTTGGAAGTATCACACCACCTGGTATCAAACTATACTACAAGCCTACAGTAATCAAAATAGCATGTTACTGGCATAAAAACAGATACATTGATCACTGGAACAGAATAGAGAGCCCAGAAATAAATTCATGCCTATACACTTACTTAATATATGACAAAGGAGGTAAAAATATACAGTGGAGTAAAGACAGTCTCTTCAATAAATGGTATTGGGAAAATTGGACAGATACATGCAAAAAAAAAAAAAAAAAAAAAAAAAAAAAAAAAAACGACACATT